TGAAATGCGAGTTGATGCTGTAAGGGATGCAAGCGGTCGCAGCTACGGCGGTGTACGACGCAGCCGTGGAGGGTCGCGCGGAGCGAGGCGCGGCGGTCGTGGTCGCGGACCGGTGTTCGGTGCCGGGTCGGCGGCTTCGCGAACACGCTGCTTGTCATGTGGCAATGGTTGGTGCTCCACCGACGACCGGTGTCCGGCGCGGGATGCATTGTGTTATGTGTGTGATAAAAAAGGGCATTTCGCTAAAGTGTGTGTGCATAAATATACATTACGCGATAAGGTTTTAAACTTGAATGTGTGTGAGCCCGAAAACATGTCAGATGCCGAAATGTTCTATGTGGACATGATATTAAGCCAGAATAAAAAATGTAAGTTACCTAAAGAATGGAATGTTATTTTTCAATGTAATGGTAGACAAGTGCAATTTAAACTAGATACAGGTTCTATGTTGAATGTAATTTCGAAAAATGATTATTTAAACTTAGGCATGTCGATTCATAACCTAAAATATTTTAACAAATGTGTACAATCTTTTACTGGTAATAATTTACCTATTCTGGGCATGTACGAATTACCATTTATTTATAAAAGTAAACATTACATTTTACCATTTGTGGTAGCAGATTTAAACTGTCAAAATGTTCTGGGATTGGAAGGCTGTGTCATGTTAGGACTCGTATCCCGTGTTGACGGTATAAATATACATAAATATTCTGATCTCTTCGAAGGACTGGGTAAGTTACCTGGACAGTATTCTATTGTCGTAGATAAAAATGTACAGCCAGTGATTTGCCCTACTAGGAAAATACCACTGGGGATGAAAGACAAACTCTTAGCAGAGTTACGTAGGATGGAAAAATTAGGCGTTATCAGGAAAGTTACTCATCCTACGGAATGGGTTAACGCTATTGTGCTAGTAGCAAAAAAGAATGGTGATATTCGTGTGTGTTTGGACCCGAGACCGCTTAACCGCGCGGTGCGGCGCGCGCATTACTCGCTGCCCACGGTGAGCGAGCTGGCAGCGCGGCTGCGCGGTGCTACGTATTTCAGCGTGCTGGATGCGCGCTCTGGTTTTTGGATGGTTCAAATTGATCCTGCCAGCGCAGATCTTTGTACATTTGGAACACCGTTTGGTCGTTACCAGTTTCTAAGGCTACCGTATGGAGTAAATTGTGCTCCAGAAGTATTTCATGCAAAGTTAAGACAATATCTGGAAGATTTGGAGGGTGTTGACTCTTTTATTGATGATGTAATAGTATGGGGGAATACTAAAGAACAACATGACTTCAGGCTAAAATGTTTACTGAATAGGGCTAGAGAAATTGGTATAAAATTTAATAAGGAGAAATGTAAGTTTGGAGTTCGAGAAATTGTTTATTTGGGTCATAAATTCGATAAGAATGGGATAAAACCAGACGAGTCTAAAGTTAAAGCTATTATGGGTATGCCGTATCCTACAGATCGTAAAGCATTGGAGAGATTTATGGGTATGGTGAATTATCTTTCCAAATTTATTCAAAACTATTCGGATAGTGTGTCCGTGCTTCGAAGTTTATTAAAAAAGAATTCTGAATGGCTGTGGGAGCCACATCATTCAGATGCTATAGACAGTCTTAAAAATAAAATTTCATCTGCACCAGTGTTAGCACTTTACTCGACGGAGCTACCGGTGGTGGTGTCGGTAGACGCGAGTGCTAGAGCGCTGGGAGCGGTGCTGCTGCAGGCCGGCCGTCCAGTGGAGTTTGCTTCGTTAACGCTCACCGACACTCAGACCCGGTACGCACAAATTGAAAAAGAGATGCTGGCAATAGTGTTTGCGGCAGAAAGGTTTAAACAGTACATTTATGGCAGGTCAGATGTTACCGTACAAACTGATCACAAGCCCTTGGAGGCATTGTTCAATAAAGCGTTGTCATCTGTACCGATACGACTACAACGCATGATGATGAGGATACAGGGATACGATTTCAAGGTGGTGTATACTCCGGGCAAATATATGTATATTGCCGATACGTTATCGAGGGCTCCTCTGCCGGAGTTTATGCACGATCGAGTGTCTGAGGATGTTGAGACGCAAACATGTTTTATGATAGAATGTATGCCGTTTAGTAGAGAAAAAATAGATAGAGTTCGAAAGGCGACAGAGGTTGATGAGGAATGTCAGTTATTAATTAAGTACATATTAAACGGCTGGCCAAAAAATGAGCATAATGTTCATAAAAACGTTAGAAAGTTTTGGTCATATTGTGGAGAACTCCAATATGTGAATGGGTTAATATTAAAAAATTATTGTATATTTATTCCGCAAAGTTTACGAGCCGAAATGATTGTAAAAGTACACGAAGGTCACCTAGGCATAGAGAGGTGTAAGAGGCGCGCGCGTGATGTAATGTTCTGGCCAGGGCTGTCAGCGGACGTGGAGCGCGCCGTGCGCCGCTGCGAGTCGTGTGCTCTGCATGCACGGGCTCCCGCGCGGGAACCACTACTTCAACATATCGTACCCAATGCACCTTGGCAAAAACTTGCCTCAGATATTTTTGAGTATAAAAAGAAATACTATGTCATATTAGTAGACTATTTTTCTAATTATGTTGAAGTTCAAGAAGTAAATAGTATAAACAGTAGAACAATTATTCACTTTATGAAGGAACAATTTTCGAGGCATGGCATCCCTAGCGAGCTTGTTACTGATAATGGGCCGGCGTATAGTTCACAAGAATTTAAAAAATTTCTTAGGTTATGGGAGGTTAAGCATATGACTTCATCACCTCATTACCCCCAGTCAAATGGGAAAAGTGAGCGCACAGTGCAAACTATAAAAAATCTACTCAAAAATGCATCGATTCTGGGGATGATTTCTTTATAAGTTTATTGAACTATAGGAGTACGCCTAGGTATGGAATGGATTCTCCGGCACAAATTCTGATGGGATGACGTTTGTGTACGAAGCTACCGATTAGTGATTTTCTATTAAATGAAACGATTGATAGAAATAGAAATTATAAAATGTTAATGCAACAAAGAAAATATAATAAATTACAGTATGATAAGTCGGCCAAGCCGTTGCGGACTTTATTACCAGGAAATAAAGCAATTTTAGTTGATAAGGGAAATAGGAAACCCGTTTCTATTATTAGACCGTCGCAGGAACCACGTTCGTTCATAGTACAGGATTCGCGCGGACGCCGATTGAGGCGCAATCGCCGTCACTTGATAGTACGATATGCAGACAGCGATGAAACGCGTCCCGCCGCCTGCGCTCCGAGTGCAATTAACGCTAAGTCAGCTGAGTTAACGGCCAAGGCTGTAGCTTCAAACCCAGAACAGTTTGACCCTTTGTATTCGACAGATAGTAAAACGGATACGGAAGGTCATAGCCCATGCATTAATCCTCCAATAACTAGGTCAAAAACACGACTTATGGCTAAGATGAAATATGCGATGAAAGAAAAAATATAATAGTTGTTTTGTATAAAAGTTATTTGCAAACTAATATACATATTCATATTAAGTGTATATTTTTAAGGCTCTGTATTCTGTAGATGTTGACTTATTTTCGTTTATTTTTAGGTTTACTATTGTGTTGTAATTTCATTTAATAATTATAAAACTAAATCATAAAACATAGAAGTGATTTATATTATGACATATTATATAGAAATATGTTCATATTACGCCTGGGTGGCTTCGTTATTATGATATTTATATTAATTTTGTATAAGTTTGTATTTGGTATACGGTTCATTTCTACAGTTAGCGTTATCTTTCAGTTGTTTTCATTATATAGTTTTTTTTTTTTGTTATAAATCTTTTGTACTTCAGTGTTCATTATAAAAGGGGAAGGATGTAGTATATTGTGGGTAGACGGATATTTGGTGTGGATACTGTACCTTCATAAAAATAATAAAATCAGTGTTGAACCAGCTAGCGTTTATTTTATTACAATGGAGGAAAGGTATAACGGTAGATGGGACCAACACATGATGACAGATTAAATGGTGGTCTTTGCTGCTGGTCTTTAAAAAGAGATTCTCCCCAAAAAATATAACAAAAAAGCTACTAAAACGCGTTTTTGAAGTTTAAAATAAGTGTTATGATTTTTTTATCCCTTCAACTTTTATTTATATGAATTACAAAATAATTAATAATAATTTTCAAAATGAAGATTAAAAAAATCAGAGCCAATCTTCCAAAGCCATCATCATAGTTTCGCGAACTGTTTGCATAGAGGTACTTCAAACCACTCTTACATTAAGGGCAACAAAACCACTGTCAACCAGTCCATGATGCCAGATTTCAAGTTTCCAAATCACCTAGATGAGCTAAGGTTTAGAGGAGTAAGTCAGTGAGTTATGGAAATGAAACTTGTCAGAACTTAATAATTCAAATACTTTTAGGATTAATCTTAAAATTTAGAATTAGAAAAATAAGCTCTGGTAATCATTAGATCTTTATTAGGTATATTAAATTACATGTATGTAAGTATAATCGTTTTTGAAATATGGAGGGTAAAGAAGTGGCTCGAAATGTTTCGTGTATATGTAATGTGTTCGTGTAATGCCAGTGCGTCGCCATTTTCTTTTCTGAACTTGGCTGTCACACAACCGTGTGCCAGGCAAGCTCAGAAAATATTACCCAATATTTATTATAAGAAAAAACATAATTTACGTTCTATTTTGGTATTTTTAACTGATTTATTTATCAGAATGACAAACAAAGTAATATTCTACCTGAATCTAAGTAACTACTGCAGCCTGGACACGTGCAGCCATCAAGCAAAGAAAGTCAAACAAGTAAAAAACGAAGTGCCCTAGAAACTATATGCATACTAGGTCTTTAACCCGTTAAATTCAAAAACAATTATATATAAACTACTATTTGACGGCAGAAATACTTTGAGGGTAGTATTCGTCCAGACAATATTTAAGCTTAAATTATTTAAGGTAAAGTTCTACAAATATATTGTTTATTAAGTTTGTGTTGTTTGGTGCTTCCTTCAGAGAACGGTCGAGGAATGACGGAGGTACGTGCGGAGTGCAGTTCATGCGGTGGTTGCTGGGCAAGCGCTAACACCTTCGTGACACTGATACCGCGCCTCCTAGCGCCCGCACGCGCTGTCACCACCGTGTGGCTCAACGCGGCCGAGCAGGTGCCTTTATACCTTCTTCTTCATTATCATCCTGTAAATGTCCAGGTCTATATATGTACTTGTATTTTTGTAGTGAGGATTTTTCTTATTATTGAACAATGAGTGGTTAAATTTATTATTGTTCCTCGTCGTTAAATGTTGGAACCACGAGAACATATTAAAAAGTACTGCACCTTCGACGTCGTTGACGCTTAACAGACGCCTTATCGTCGCTGGGTGGAATACAAAGTTCTTTATCTTTGTCAATTATTGCGGAGTATAGATCTCCACATTTAGGACCTCCAAACATATATTTCTTTTACAAAACTGAAATAACAAACGGACTTGAAATCCACCTGATGGTAAGTGTCATCTGCAGCGTTCAGACGATCTTTGTATCCTCTACACTAAGTCACAGATGCTTTGCCACCTCTGAGGACTAAAACGTAATCGCTCACAGCCTGTAATCTTACTGAACACATCAGTACAAGCACTGCCATTTCGTAAATAGCCAAGAGGTCAGTATCTACTTAATCGGACTTCCTTTGTAGAAAAATAATCTACCACCTAGTAAAACCACCCAAAAGCTTCACCAGCAATACTGAAACCAGAAACCTTGTTTTTCAATCGATCTTCTATTCTGCATTTGTTCATAGAAACTGCAGTCGGAGTACGCCGGTGTGACTGTGCCCGTACTGCGGATATACAACGAGGCAGCTGCGCATATTACGTAAGATTTGATCAATCCGGTATCATATTTGATCATAACTGTACACCTATACACCATACCAAGTGTGTGACAGTAATCAACATTAACCGTATAGTCGCGATGTAAAAATATTTCCTACCTCATATTATCATCCCGTGGGTGTTGTTAGAGATAACAGAGAGAAATTGAAGCAGTAACAAGGCAGCAGCGTTTCCCTGATAAGAACTTAAAATTATAAAAGCTGCGGTTGCAAACCTACCGGCTAACCGGGAGAACTATGGCAGAATTCTCCATAAGAGGCAGTCTATTGGGGCGGTTTGTATTCAATAGTGGATTTATATATGAATCAATATTTACACACCCTACTACGAGGGTTGTATGATATAATATTGAATGAAACGAAACTATTAATATATCTCTTGAAAAATATCATTTTTACCTGTATTTCAGGCACATGTTGATAGCAGAAGTACCTGCAGAAGATTTAGAAAAGTTAGAGCAGAAAAATTCTACAACTGTAGCTTCGGAATCAGTAGAAGAACACACACTTGAGGAAGGAGAGGATTGTCCAACGCCAGAGTATTGGCAGGCCACGTTGCCGGCAAGTATTTCAACTGAATAGTTTTATAAGATCTTTTTAGGTACTGCATATTTTTTTGTTAAAGTTATGTGTATATAATTTATGTCATATACCGTAGTTGTTGAGAGCACTACGTCTATTACCAAGTGAGTTACCTACGAGTATAACAAATTATCTGACTAGATAAGTCCACTTTGCTTAAGAAGTAAATTGACGGTTTCTACTAGCCTCAGCAGCGTTCACGAAATTACGGTAATTCAAAACATTAAAAACAACAGTGTAAAATCAGTACATGTTGTTAGTGACACATAAAACTGCGACGTGGTCCCACAATAATGACCGCATGAAGAAGTTTGAGCGTACTTCGGGGATGTTAGCAGTTTATCCGCGTGTAAAATCCAACGCAGATTAGTGGATCAGAAGAGAGCTGGAGCAACAATGAACTTCCTGTATAGCTCGAAGCGACGGCACAGAAAGTTCAAGTGGCAGTCTCTTACCGGTAAGTAGAGTATAGAACTGCCTCCCACTAGTTGGAGTGATGACTTGGTATAATATACAGGAATTTCCACTCGAGAATAAGCCTGCTCGGGCCAAACGGAGAAATAATTGAAAGGTGCACCCTGTGCACCCGCTATCCGTGAATTTCTGTAACATCAGGGGACTTCATTCAAATCTTAATGCTGTCCACTACTATCTGGAAATGGTGATGGATACTAGATTGATGGCCAGCCTTGCTCTTTCTAACTGGAACACAGGTATACTCTCTGGCTGATACTTCGTATCTCTCCTACCCGGCGTACAAATTAGAACATTCCTTTATGTACCGGGCTGGAGTTTGCGTGGACGTCGGAGAGGACATGTGTTTTTGACGCCTTGGTAATCTTGAAGGTACGGACCTGTCCCTCTTATGGCTGCGCTTAGAAAGCGGCCATCACCGCGTCTACGGGTGCATCTATAGGTCCCATAGCGGCAATGCCAAAACAGATCGACTCATCGACCACATGCAAACGGCTGCAGACTCCGTGCTGCAACAGGTCGCCTTCGCAGAGATCGTGATGCTTGCTGATTTTAACGCCCACTACGCTAAATGGCTTGGTTCTCGTTTAACCGATCATGCGGGTAGATCTGTTTATGACTTTGCCTTGGCATATGGTGTGACACAACTGGTTATCTCACCTAGTTCGCATTCGCACATCATTGCGTTTACTTGTGCGCACTAGTTTGACGTTACCTATACTTACTGTTACTTATACGTGTATAATATAATGCCCGCACTCACTAAAAATTAAAAAATGGTGCAAAAGTGTACATCTTGTGCTAAAAATATCACCAAAAAAACTCCAGGTCTAGTGTGCAGTAGATGTGAAAAGTCAGTTCATGCTACACCAGTGTGCTCGAAGCTCAGTAACAAACAGCTGACTACCCTTCGCAACGCCACTGGACTCGAGTGGAGTTGTGAAGAATGTATCAACAACACGTCAAGGAGATCCTCTTATATGATAACTATGGATGACGATACTGACGAAGAAGAATTACCTCCTAGCTTGAATAATACGTCGTCAGATAATTACAATAAGTTGATCAATGATATTAGTACCCAAATGCATAGAATTCTCAAAAAAGAATTGGATGGAGTCAAGAGTTCATTGGAGTTTCTAGGACATCAAGTGGAAGCAATTGAAGAATCAATAAAGAATCAAGATGCAAGAATAAAGAAGTTGGAAACCAAAATTAATGATTCTCATAATAAAAACAAACATTTTGAACTCCAAATTGCAGCCATCGAACAAGAAATACGAGAAATGGAGCAGCGGACGCTTTCATGTTCTCTAGAAATATCAGGTATTACTTCTAACGTTAAAGCAAATGAGGTCACTATAACTCAAGAGATTGCGAAGAAGCTCGATCTCGACACTGGCTCAATAGTTTGTGCACGACGACTTCCGACCCGCAGGGAAAATCCAGGCAACATTATAGTGGAATTGAGATCTAAAGACGCCCGGGACCAGTGGATAGAAGCGGGTAAAAAAGCTCAACTTACCCTAAGCGTATTTGGTAAAAACGTACCGAGTGAACAAGCTGGAATAAGAATCTTTATTCGAGAAGCACTATCTCCCTACATGAAGACCCTATATTACAACGCCAGGAATAGTCTCAAGACTTCGCATAAATATGTATGGTGCAAAAATGGATTGATCTACTGCCGTAAAACAGATGACAGTAAAGTGCTTATTATCCGTTCAAACCAAGATATATCGAAACTCTTAGAATAATTAACATAGTTAAGTTTTATTTTTCTTCTCATATTAGTATACAAAACGAATTTTTTTTTCTCATTGTAATATGAACTTAGATTTACCTAAGCCTAACGAATATCATAATTGTTTAAATATAAACTATTTTGTAAAACAAATATCTACCAACATTCATCTACTATGTATGCATGTCAATATTAGATCACTGATAAAAAACTTCTCTAAGCTATTGCACATTATCAACACAAGTACCCACCCAATAGATATGATTGCAATTTCAGAGGCTGGCATTTCCGACAGTATTTGTAATTTGTTTTATATTCCTGGTTATGTAATGCATACACAGCTGAGAACGAATAAAAGGGGAGGTGGAGTTGTTTTATTTGTTAAAAAATACCTAAAATTTACCATTCATAACATTAAAACATTTACTTTTGAAAACATTACTGGAACAATTAAAACGGCTTCGAACCTCTCTGTTGACGTGTGCTTAGTTTATAGACCACCTTCTAGTAGTAAAAGTTATTTTATCACTGAGCTAAACGAAATGCTAAAAACTTATTTTTTATCGGGGAATGCAATCATACTTGGGGATATGAATATCGACTTAAAAACTGTAAATAGCAGCCGAGATGGTTACATAGATATGCTATCCGAGCACGGCTACAGCTGTGGTATTACAGATTATACCCGAATTGAGCGAAAATTAGACCAAATTAATATGTCGTGTATAGATCACATATTTGTTAAATACCACCAAACCGAGCCGTGCACGGCCGCACTCGACACTGTACTAGCCGACCACAGAGTCACAATTATTGCATTATGTTATAGTCACTCGATGCGATCCGCACACATGCATAATATTAGTGATTGTTGCCCCGAACCGGTCGCCTGCACTCGTCGCGCATACTATGATTCCGATATTGTTTATAATGAATTGAAAGATGTGGACTGGTCATGTACAGGTACGATGAAATGTCCACATGAAATTTACAGTTATATAAAAGAAAAATTCACATTAGCATATAATAAAGCCATTAAATACTATAATAAAATCAAATTTACTAAATCAAATATGCCTTGGATAAATAAAAATATAAATAATTTAAGTCGTAAAAGAGATATAGCTTTTCGCCAATGGAGAAGAGATCCTAATAACAATATTTTGTCTAGAAATTATAAAAAAATACGTAATAAATTAAATAAAGTTATTGAGTATTATAGAAATACTTATTTGAGGAAATTGATTAATGAAAATTATAGAAATCCTAGGAAACTTTGGCAAATTATTAATGCATTATATGGTAGAAGTAGTCCATCAATAGACGGATTGATATTATCTGGTTTTTCAGCACAAAAATTGTCTCCACAGGCTATTGCTGATAAGTTTGCGAGTGAGTTTAAAGATGCCGTTAAGAAAATAAACCCTAGTTGCCATACGAATTTATTAAAATGTAGTTCATATACAAAGCCTGCCCAAGTTAGTATGCGCTTCAAAAAAGCCACCCCTAAAAACATTTTTCATTTAATTAAGAACCTTAATGCAAGGAAAGCTCCAGGTTTAGACGGGATTAATGTATTAGATATCAAAAAGAAAGGTGACAAATTATGCACCGCCATCGCTAACCTTATAAACGCAAGCTTTTTAGTTAGTAGATACCCGGAAGGATTAAAAACTGGTTGTGTGCGACCTATCTTTAAAATGGGTTCTAAAGGAGTTGTAGCAAATTACCGGCCCATAACTTTGTTACCCGCTATCGACAAAATAGTGGAGAAATATATTTGTGAACAGATGCATAACTTTTATAAGCTAAAATATACTTAGTACGAACCAATATGGGTTCCAAGCCGGTAATAGCACTACAACGTTGCTGCGAACATTTACGGATGAGATCAATAGTTATTTAAACGAAAAAGTTCACGTCTTAGTAGTATTTATTGATTTCTCCCGCGCTTTTGATACGCTTGATCATAAAAAACTAACAACTAAGCTAGAAAATACTGGAATCCGAGGTGTAATACTAAACTGGTGCCAAGACTATCTGAAAGACAGAACTTATAGAGTAAAAATAGATGAATGCCTAAGTAAGCCCGTATCGGTCTCGACAGGTACGGCCCAGGGGTCGGTGATCGGTCCACTGCACTTTCTGGCTTATGTTAACGATATGACTAATGTACTTAAATACTGTACATCTTATCAATTCGCAGATGACACGTGTATCATATCTGCTGCAAAAGATCCACAAGTAGCATTAAATAATTTACAATACGACTTCAACAACTTAAATAAATGGTGTCATGACTCAGGCCTAGTGTTGAATGCAGCTAAAACTAAGATGCTACACATAAGATCTCCTTATATTAGAGAGAAAAGTACATCGTACAATCTTATAGCTCATGATCACAGTTGCCTTCATAATTCGAATTACATTCACTGTAGGTGTCCACCAATTAAAATAGTAGATTCTCACGTGTACCTTGGATTAGTAATTGATAGTGCATTTAACTGGGCCCCCCAAGTTGAGCGAGTATGTGACAAATTACGAGCGTTCCTCGCAAACTTAAGAATCATAAAAAAACAAATGACTTTTAGGACACGATTAGCTTTATATAACGCGTTTGCTAACTCTATAGTCAACTATGGCCTATCCAGTTATGGGCGAACTTTCAAGTCATATCTGGATAGGATATATAATCTACAAATAAGAATATTTAGGATAGGATATATAACGTAAAAAAACAATTTTCATCAAATGAAATAAAATTATTTAAATATTGCAACGTACTACCCGTACACGACCAGTTCATACTCCAATTTCTGAAGGAAGATTTTTTTAATAATTCCATTAAAATAAAAGTGGAACATAATAAGGGTACTCGGGCGATCACTCGCGGCAAGTTAGTTACGACAGCCGCGCGGAACACTTACGGCAGACGCACTGCTGTATACTTGATTCCTAGAATCATAAATAAATTGGATCCTGAGTTTAGGAATTCTATTAATGAAAAAAATTTAAAAAACAAACTAAAGATCTTTCTAGTGAGTTCTTTGGACAGCAAAGATCGAATAGTTACATGAATAAGTATGGTAACTTTGTTTCTTCTTTTTTTTTTAAAGCATAGCGAACGTAAGCACAGCAATTAAACCTCAGTGGTTTGCGCTGTGTTCAATATGTATTAATAATTGTACATTTTATGGGTAATAAATGAAAAAAAAAAAAACCTACGCGGACCCCATATGTGGAAGATGATGTACCTTCCCTGTTGGACCTACTGCTGACCTTCCATCATGACGGATATCAGGTCACCGTCGATGCCGCTCTTGGCTCCTCAGACCACTATCTGATCCGAAGTACGGTGCCACTCACGCTTCCATCGCAGTTGCGTTCTGCAGATTGCCGCCGTATTTGGCATTATAGGTCAGCCGATTGGGACGGGATGCGATATTTTTTTGTATCCTACCCTTGGAGGTGGGCTTGCTTCTCGCCGGATGATCCCAGCATTGTTGCTGATTTTGTTGCTGATGTGGTGCTACAGGGATTGGAACTTTTTATTAAATCATCTTATATACCTATCGGAGGTAGAATCCGGCCATCATTTGATCGCTCCTGAAATATTGCAATACGTCATAAGCAAGAGTGCTACCAGGCCTGAGCTGACGCATCGACGTCTCGGGATGCAAATACCAGCGCTCTTAAATAGAAGTATAATTCCGCCTCCAGGTCCTTCAAAATTCTCATTGTCAACGTTAAGTCAGAGCATATCGGCTGAATTGGCGAAAAACTAGTTCGTCTTCCTTCGGGTTCACGTGGTCTGGTCTCTCACTAAGGCTGTCCAAGGGAAATTCTGTCAGTCATCTGACCTATGCCACAAAGGACAAAACTGATCTGCTGGGCTCTCTCTTTGCGTCCAACTCGAGTCTTGATGACGGGGGGTGCTGTTTACCCAACGCTCGGTAAGTAGATTTATCCTCTCACCAAACAAGTTAAGTGGGCCTGATGGCGTCCCTCCTATTGTGCTGAAGACGCGTGCTCCAGAGTTGGCACCAGTGTTAACGCATCTTTTACGGTACTTCTACTACCTATTATTAACAGCCAGCTCATGCGTTACCTTGAGGATCACCAACAGATTCGTGACCGTCAGTTCGGTTTCCGTCGCGTTCGCTCGGCTAGTAATTTTCTGGGTTACCTAATACATAAATGGGCGGAGGCAGTAGAGTCTAAGAAGAAGGCGTTGGTCGAAGTTTGGACATAGCGAAGGCCTTCGATCTGGTTTGACACAAAGCTTTTCTTACGAAGCTTCCTTCCTATGGGCTTCCCGAGAAATTGTGCAATTGAATTACCAATTTTCTTCCAGGTCGGAGCATCAAGGTCGTAGTAAAAGGTGCATGCTCCAACTACAAGCCCATTGACGCTGGTGTTCCACAAGGCTGCGTGCTATCACCAAAGCTGTTTATTCTGCATTAAAATGACATGTTGCAAACCGGTAACATTCATTGCTATGCGAATGACAATACTGGTAATGCTTTATACACCATCCGCGCCAATATTTCTCGGGAAAACCGAGAAATATTGGAGTACCGGGACAAACTTGTATCTGAAGTAGAGACTTGTTGAACAAAGTCTCGGATTGGAGGCGACTAAATCTAATCCAGTTCAATCTCCAGAAGATACAAATTTGCGCGTTTACCACTAAAAAGAACCCCTTCGTCGTATCCACTCATTTTCAAGACACACCCCTTGTTGCCTCAGTTAGTATCGGAATCCTCAGCATCGACATATCCAGTGACGTGCAATTTCGTTGTCACTTGAAAAGAAGGCCAAATTGGCCTCTAAAAAGCTTGGCGTGCTCTGCAGAGCGCTTCAGTAATTCATGCCGGCACACCGACTGCAACTTTACAAGGCACACGTTCGGCTACAAATGGAATACTGTTTCCATTTTTGGTCTGGGGCTCTTCAGTGCCAGCTCCTTCCATTTGATCGAATTCGATCGAACGGCAGTGGCCGAACTCTTTCCGATCCGCTTGACTCACTGGCACTGCGTGTTTGGACTAAATCCAGCCATCGCACATCGCGACAAAATTCGATACCACCCATCTGGATGACTTGCGGTCCACCACTGTGCAATTTAGAAGAAGTTTACTTCCTCGGACAACTTCCTTGTGGAATCAACTACCACCAGAGATATTTCTGGCTCGATACGACTTAGGGAGCTTCAAGAAAAGAGCGTACTCCTTTTTAAAAGGCTGGCAACGCATCTGCAATTGCCCTGGAGTTGCAGTTGTTCATGGACGGCTGTAATCACTTACCATCAGGTGAATCGTGTCGTTGTTTGCCCCCTCCCCTATAAAAAAAACTCTCCCCTATAATAATAATCCCTATAATAATAATAACAGTGAATATGATCAGGTGCTGAATGAGGTCGTAGCGCACGTCCTGGTGGCTGCGATGGGCGCGGTGGGCGGCGAGCGTGGTGTGGCGCGGGCGCTGGGCGCCTGGGAACTGCGCGCGCTGGCGCTGCCACCGCTGTTCGCCACCGCCTCGCTGGCCGAGCGCGTGGCGCGCCGCCGCAGCCGTGCCGGGCCGCCGTCGCAAGATGAGCCGCCGCCTAGCGAAGACGAGCTACGCGCGCTTTGTACGCCACCGCTAGTCACCTGCCGCCTGCGGAATAGGGTACTCGGACTCCAAATACACCCTAAGTACGTTTCTTATTTCTTAAGGTTTTATTTGCACACCAAGTACAAAAAGGCGGACTTAATTCGAAAAAGCATTCTCTACAAATTTACCTCCAGGCTAAGCTGAGAAAATATTTTTATTTATTTTATTTTATTTTATTTTATTTGGAAGACCAACAGCTATCATAATTAGGATAGATAATATTAAAAACTACAGTAAGCCAGTTAAAGGTCCTCACTAATAGATACAAAGGTGAATTTACAACAGTGATAAACACGATTCAACACTCAAGAGTATCCAATTCTAACATATTTATGACAAATGAGGGCTTATCTGTAATAACATGTATTATACATATAAAAGAGAAAAAAAAAACACAAACATAGAAGAAGTAAATCGTTAGTTTTGTAACAAACGCATCAATATCGCACTTAGAGCTAAAAAATGCATTATTAAGTATGCGCTTGGCCGACGCATCGCTAGTGTTAAACAAATCGAAGTCAAACTCATTGGCTAACTTGTTAAAGTTATTGCTCGCTCGCCAAATAAATGTATTTTGTCTGTAATTTGTAGATGCAAACGGGAGACTTAAAAGTTTGTTGTGTCTAAGAGGTTTGGCAGGACAGCTAAGATGTAGTTGAGATAAAAGCTCAGGAGAGTCAATAGTACTACAGTCTATTTTTAACAGAAAAGTGAGATCAGCAATCTCGCGGCGCTTATCAAGAGGAAGAAGGTGATGCTTCTTACAATAACTAATATAATTATCAGAGGTATAGCGATAGTCTTTGGTTCTATAACAGAGGTAACGGATAAACTTTCTTTGGATATTTTCAAGTCATTTGAACGAAAATAATTTGAAAAAGCATTACAGATAAGTTCACCAGAGTTCATTACAGAACCTTCAAATTTAAGACAACTAGGTATTGAATGTGATTTTGATTTTTGTTTAACATACGACCAGAAGTGTTTAGGATTAGCACTAATCGAATTTTCCACAGAGGTTATGAAAGATTGGTATGCTAACTTTTCTAATTTCCTTACACGCTCACGAAATAATAATATAATGAATGATAAGTGCAAACAACTACGTTAAGATATATATAGCCTCATAATATGTCTTACTTACTTATTATGACGTAATGTTTTTCATATATTGAACCCTAATTTATTAATATTACCTAATTATTATGAAAATGTTAATATCTTTTTACCATTACAGACTATTTATAGCAATGGTCCTCATGGGTGGGTTGATAATGGTAGCACCTAATGTCTCGTACGTTTGCCTCTCGAAACTGATCTGAGAATCTTACATCTTGTATGAAAAGTCATATAATCCTAGCCTGGAAATTAGAAAATATGTAAAAAAGATTCTAAAATATTTGACAAAATGTGCTTCCCTGCCATGTATCTGCATTTGAACATCAAAATTGAGACGGCTTCTAATAATATTAAAATGATATGAAGTTTAAGTAATAGAGAAACTGGTAATGTGAAATCTAACAATTAAAACTACCAATTAAATAATAACAATAAATGAACTAAATCAGATCAGGATGAGAAATATTTTACTGAAATTCCGATCTTAACCACTAATTCACTGAATTTCTCTTCAGCCGTCACCGAATCATTACTCAAACAAAATATAAATGAAAAATCTTTACAATTTATATATCAAACTACAAATAATCTGATAATTTCTATCGCAAATGTCTCACAATTGCTATTTGTGTATTTAACTGATATTTAAAGAAAATACTTCACTTCACTTTTTTCAGGCCGTATACATCGTTTAGTAGCCATTTATCAAGTGGGTATTAGTCGGATTATTTTTGTAGGCCCCCAAAAAGTGTAAATTCATGGTCCACCCCTGCAGTGAGAACTTGGTCCTTGCCCGGTCTAACCGACTCATTTGTGCTATAACTATCTAGTTATATATCTGCAACATAGCTCTACCACGTAATAAATCATACAGTCGTATTAAGGGTCAAGTTACAAAACTTTCTACACCGTCTTCCATTGTTAAGTTTGAAAATAGATTTTCTACTAAATTAAAAACTTCATTACCACCAATTGAATAATTGTCACCTAACGGTGACAAATGACGGTCTAACAATGGTCAATGTTTTATCATCAATTTAAGATATTCATTCACGATAATTAACAGTGAACTGATGTTTATTATTTAGTAAACAAATTAATTGACCATGCATTGTTAGTTTGTACCGGCTTAGTGCCTACAGCAGAAAATTATTTTATTATTTGGAATGCGCTTATACGTAAATATAACGACAAACGTTCGCTAGCGTCTACATATATGAAACAACTTTTATCCCGGGGCCCATGAGCGGATGATTTAATGGGCAGCCGCGAGTTCGAGCCCAAATGGCCATATGGAAAAATGTCCTATCATACTAAACTGTAGACAGAAGTGTAGAAAAATATAGTACGTACCTGTATCCGAATCTAAGACCGCCCCAAGGCTTGATCAGGCCGTAGGTGGGTGTAAGGTGCATTGAAAGTAGTGTTTAGTGATGTGTATGTGTATGAGACCTGGCCCAGCTGAGGTGACTGGCAGCGGCCGATTTCCATGCTGCCCCACAATGCTGCATCACTCCAGCAGGCTTCCACGCTGGACCATTTCTTTCTTCATGTCACTATTTTAGTCTATTAACTTCATTGTACATTTAACTAACTTAAACTCGCCTAATTCCACATTCATCGTAGAATCGAACACATGATACCCGACACAGTAACGGATAGTAGTTCAAAGTTCAACATTCAATGTCCCGGTTTCATTTATCACCCAATTACAAATAGGAAACTAACGCGATCTCTTCATGAGCCACACGGTTCGGCGTTATACACAACTAAGTTCCTTTTTTCAATACTACATACTACGCCGCGATAAGAATTCAAAATCCGCCTCGTTGACACGTAAAACTAACAAAACAGTCAACACACAAAAAAGGGCACTTAACGCGACGGCACAATTACAATGATTTCCAAAACGATCAACAGGGAGACGCCCTCGATAAAGGACTGCGCTGTCCAAATTCTAAATCATATCTCTAATCGGTGCGCGCGCATAATTCCACGTCACCAAAACAAGTTAAATATTACAAAATGCACTTCAACACGCATTCACTATCTAATTTGCACAATTACTTTCAAAGAAGTAACTTTAATCAGTCAAACACAATTCAAGCCTCTTGTTAAGAATTTAAACCCTAGACAAACTAAAACGATTTTCACGAAACACAATTACGTAACGAAGTCACGCACACAAATTCTAAAATTCTAGACCCTAATCCAAAAAAACCGGTCTAGCGAAACCTCAGCGGCGGGCACCGAAAAACACTAATTAACTGCCCCGCCGCCATCGAGCCACTGTCTCCCGCCCACCAGCGTAAAAACGCTGGGGAGCTGCATTCCGCTGCCCCTTCCGCGCGTCGCGCGTGACACCTGGTACCATCGGGCGATTCACGAAGGCGAACGTGATTGGATGTCGTACAAAATCGCAATCGCCTCGGATACATTATTGTGGCTGATACTGAAGTTCCTTTGTTTCCTGTTTTTACGAAACAAATTCAAATCAAAATTTTTTGAAAAAAAAAATTTTTCACTCTTTACGCCAGCTAGCCGCTGACGAAAGGGAGTCCTATCCCCTTGCTGCTTCTGTAATAGAGAGAGATATTTATATGAATAACCTCGCTTCATACGCCCAATAACGCAGTCGATATCGCCACTCAAGTAATCCAAAATTTTCGCCGAGGTGGATTCGAATTCGTAAAGTGGACAAGTAACTGCAAAGACCTTTTGCAGCGTCACAGCGTCACATCGTCAACAAGACTTGGTATCGTTTGATGATGATGACATTATTAAAATTTTAGACTTTCGTTGGCATCCCGCTATCGATAAGGTTTTTTATCTTGTCAATTGTACCAGTTACATCAAGTGCGCTATTCTCTCCGCGACAGCTCGCTTGTATGATGTTTTAGGAATTGTCGATCCAATAATTACTTATACAAAATTATAACTTAAAACCTTGTGGGTTCTTTAACTTGACTAGGACGGGATTCCTACCGCTAATATTGTCAATATATGGCAGAAAAATATTACCTTTCATCTCACATAATATATAGTTTTCACGACTTATCGGCGTAAATAAAAATTCGCATTGGTCGCTACTTGCCTTTGCTGACGCTAGTGTAAAGGCTTACGGGTGTGTAATTTATTCGCACGTTCTAAATTTAAATAATCCTCCCATTATAACGTTCATCTGTCCTGAATCTCGGGCGTCCTGATTAAAAACTATAACCTTAGCCAGACTGGAGTTAAGTGCCTTGCTTTTGCTCACTAAGTTAGTATGCAATGTTAACGATTCGTTGTCATTCAGGCATCCGATTAACAACATTTACGCATGCTTAGATTTGAAAGTCGCACTCTGTTAGGGCGTGATCATTACAGCATAAGTTCAACACTTTTGTTGCTAACCGTATTTTGCAAATACAGTCCTATTTACTACCGGATATTTTTTATCAAATCGCAGAAAAAGTCTGCAGACCGTTTTTCGCGTGATAGGCCTCCGTGAGTTTCCTTGCCGTGTAAAGAATAGCCTGTAGAAAGGTTGACACATATAAGCTTACAAGAAAAAAAACTGTGTCGTTTGCGGTTAGTGAGATGGTAGAACACCCATTAATCTTGTTAAGATTAAAATGTTTTAATTGGATTAAATATCCAACATCCGTTTTTTATGTATTTAATTATTTATATAAGGTCTTTGAATAAGTTAGCGCGCACCAATAAAGTTATAAACGAGCCCGACATAGAGATTTCTGAAATTAAAGTCATTACAATTATGCAAAGTATCGCTTTCGCCGATGAAAATATTAAAAAGGGACAACCATGCACATCCAAAAGCACCCAATATTGACTACATAAGAAATATATTGTTGACCTAATAATTGGTCAATATTACTGCGTAGTCACGTACCGCATTCATAGGTGTTACATCTGTTTTAGGCATAAACCTAAACCTATATATCCTATGATACCTGCTTGCTGCTTCATCATTATCATTACAGCCCTTCACAAGTCAACAGCTGAACATAGGCCTCCCCCAAGGAATGCCACAAAGCACGGTTCTACGTCACCTGCATCCAATGACTTTCTGCATGACTTACCTAGGCGTCACTCCATCTAGTGGGGGGACAACCCTACACTTAGCCTGCCGGTACGAAACTGCCACTCGTCAAACTTTCTTCCACATCGGATGTCGGTTTTTCGAGCTATGTAGCCGGCCCATTGCCAATTCAGCTTACTTCAATTAATTAACCTATTAAGCCGTTGGACTATGTTGGTAACTCAGGTTCTACTGCGGATAAATTCGTTTTTAATTCAATCACGCAGAGAAACGCTGAGCATAGCACTATCGATAGCTCGCTGAGCTTTCTCATACGGCCAGCAGTGAAGGACCACGTCTCACATCCATAGGTCATCTTTGGCAACAAGCACGAGATGTATAATCTAGTTTTGAGGTATGCCTGACGTGTTGTAATCCCACAAACGCTGCCCAGCCGCGTTGAATCTGTCGTTAACCTCTCGGTCGAAGTCAAAGTTATCTCGGACTATTTGTCCCAGGTAAACATATTCATGAATAAGTTCGAGCTTAGTGCTCCCAACAACTACCGGCATAGGTGTGACATGGACGTTAGACATGATTTTTATTTTGTCCATGTTCATCTTAAGACCTATCAGTTGGGAGACACTATTGAGGTTATTGAGCATAGTGCTTAGATCCTCCACCGATTCTGCCATAAGGACTAGATCGTCGGCAAATTGAAGGTGAGTAATGTACTCGCCATTGATGTTAATACCGTATCCTGTCCAGTCCAGAAACTTGAAGACGTCACCTTGTCTTACACCTCTCTGCAGTTGGATAGGTTTCGTACTCTAGTTCTTTGCTCGAATAGCTATCGTACCCCTACTGTAAAACATTTCAGCACTTCAATATACTGACAGTCCACTTGGCACCGTTGAAGGGACTGCAACACTGCCCAAATTTCGACGGAATGAAAAGCTTTCTCATAGTCCAAATACGCAAGACAAAGTGACAGATTGTGTCTTCTGTCTTATGTAAATTTTGTCAAAGGGCATGTATGTGGTCTATGGTACTAAATATGCCTATTTGGATACCGGTTTGTTTGGGAAGCTGAAAGTCATCGAGTCTGCGTGTGAGATAATTCGTAATTACTCTCGAAATCAGCACGTAGACGCGGCTCAAAAGGTAAAGCAGTCTGTAGTTGTTCACGAGATCGTTGTCACCTTTCTTGAAGAACAAGACCACCGTACTTCTGATCCACGCCTCCGGAGTATTGCCGCCATGGAAGACGGAATGAAAAAGCTTCTGAAGGACTACAAATACCGGTTTCCCACCGCTCTTAGTAGCTCCGCTGTAATTCTATTCTCGTCCAGGGATTTGCCGTTTTTAAGGTGCTGGAGACTCATTCTAATTTTGCTTTAACTGATGTCCGGGATGTCATCGGAATAATGTCAGATATGACTTGATCTTGGATCGTTACTCATACTAGCGTGTGACTCCACCTATGGCGTGTACAGCTGCCCATAGAACCTCTCAATCTCACTCAAAATATCAGGTGTGCTGGAAACGATGCTGCCACATTCGGTCTTCAGCTTCGACAGTTGGCTCTTTCTAGCAGAGAGATATCTGGCAAAGACTTTGGAGCCCTGGTTCCGCTCGATCGCTTCTTCAATAAGAGCTGTATTGAAGTTGCCCAAGTTCTGCCGCATGCTTTTGGAGAACCGTCTTTTGTTGCCTGTATGCTGTCAAATCTGCTGAAGGCTGCAGCTTCATGTCCCGTCTAACAGCCATGAAATTAAGGGTGTGATCAGATAGTTTTTGTGTTCTTCTGCGGCGAGTCTTGCAGATATTAGGTCCGATCGCACGGACTGTTTCCACAAGCTAGTCATTTATATCGTCCTGCATTGCAATCATCTAGGTACTAAAAACGGTTTTGTAACTCGAGGTGAAAGGTTTCGGAACTTTGGATTAGAGCACGAGGGGGACGGAGCGTTGACTTCATTAGAAGAGACCTCTCCAACTTAACGTTTAGGTTTAGTGTGCCTCTAACTTTTCGGTGATCGCTACCAGTTTCACCCTCGCAATCACTGAGACATCACTGAACAGTCGTCGTCTGGTCGTCATAATGAAGTCAACCTCAGTGTTTGTCGAATCGTCCGGCTCGACCAGGTCCACTTCCTGTGGGGCCACTTCTTGAAGAAAGAGTTCATAATAAGGAGTTCCTTTTTCTCCATGAAGTCGGCCAGCTGCTGGCCTCTTGAATTCCGTTGCCGTATTCAAAATTGCCCTAACTTCAGCTCACCGTTCTCTCTAGTGCCTAGTTTTGCGTTGAAATTTCCCATTAACACTGTGTATTCTCACCACCTCGTACAATTCGTAATCTAATTAAAATCATTCTTTTAATAAATCGGAACCAGCAGTTGGTCATTTAACCAACAAACAATTTTACTATCATTATAGTAAATCTGCATCGCACCGGAACTTGGATCTCTCCTGTTAACTTTGTCCCCTCAATACATTTACGAAAATGTAATGTATGTACACAAACATTTATGTAGTTTTAATAAAATAAATTATATTAGGTCTGCAAATTTTAGGAACGCGCTTTTACGCTTTTACAACAAAATCCTTGATGATGATGAAATGATGAACTTGTGTTCCGCCAAGTTTATAAACTTTATTAGACAACGATTGTATGAAAGGAGTTATTATAAAATGCTATTTGTAATTTGTTACGTATTGTTAAATATTATGTAATTGTATTGTATTGTTCTTTTTTTTTAAAGTCCCGATGGGTTTCTTGCTGGTTTTTCCTAGGACATAGAGATTTTTAGAACCCGTGGTAAATTAAACATTCTTTTTTTGTATATAATATATTTAATTAAAAAAGTTTTTATTCTATTCCATAAACTCTGTAACCCATGTATCGGAGCATAAAATATATTTCTTTCGTCAATGTATTTCCCATTCTCTTACGGCACCCATGGAATGAAATGTGATGATTAATTGTCTTCTACCGCCACTGCGCTGCCATATGATATATTTAGTTAAAAAAATTATAATTTTTAATTAAAACAAATATACAAAGTAAATATTATTTTACGTTATTTCGAAGCCTTTTCCACGAATATAAATAAACATTTACACAAGCCATCAAATAGAGGTGGCACATAACCCAATAAACGTGTCGGTATCATCAACAGCGGCGGCTGCGTGTGGGCGAGCACTTGCGCGGGCGCGGAGTGCGTGTCACTACCAGCGCTGCGGCCGCTGATGCGAGTGACCGCCGCCGCGAGTGCGCCTGTCTCTAGCCTGCCCTACGTAGTGCAGCCCGCTGCGTCCGACGACTACATTGCCGCGTGAGATATAATAGCACTATCCAACGACCGTATAGCCTAGTGGCCTGGATTCCTGAATATCAGGTTTAAGTTTTAAAAGGCTTACTACCGAGGCTACTAAACATTCTGGGTTCAAACAATAGCCAGGCTAATCAATGCGTAACAACACAAATTTTGTATCCGATCTTATTTCATAAGTGTATGTTGGAAAGGGAATGTACAAGTGAGATAAGTGTCTTTGTTGGCGCATATACTTGTGGTGCTATAAGTTTTGCTCAGCTCTGATGACGATTTCATATCTATAGATCAGATGGATTTCAGATATTGATATAAAAAAATCGGTGCAGAGATTTCAAAATAGCGATCACATTTGTCAGTCCTAATGTATATTTCTAGATAATTATACCTAACACAGCTATACCCCACATGATTACACACGGAAACACAAAGTAATATATAAATAACAAGGAACATACTGCTAAGCCATTGCAGAGTCCATTTCTCCTAATGATGACTTGTTGATAGACAAATTTACTATAGTACATTTTTAGTTCAGTGGACTTGCTAAAAGTAGTTTTGGATGTAGTGGTGACAACGATACGATACCATTTTATTTTCCATGCTAATCTTATAATTTTTATATCGTTAAAAGTACTATGATTAGTATTATCAACTTTTTATGCCTATGGTTGGATGGACTTAAATTTCAACCAATTGGACAAACTCCATATATATTCGTGATCGTGTAGATACATCTATCCTCGATAACGAATCAAAATTCAAATCGTTGTCAACCGTGAGAACTACGATGGAATGCCTCGATTCCAGTAAAAAGGGTCTCCGGTTCTCTACACTAACCATACGAAACACAGCAGCGATGAGCTGTTATTTTACTCTGGTATTTGAGCGTGGTTCTTCTCCGATCGAGCCGACTCATTTGTGCTACAACTATACTACTAATATAGGAGCAGCAAGGCTCTACCACCTGTAACACGTGTGTGTGAGTGTGTGTTCACTTTATCTTATACATAATAAGTAAGTTTGGTGATATGACGAGTGTCCTGTTCGTTGCTGGTGGTATGCGAGTGTGCAGGCCGGCGGGCGACGGGTCGCGGCTGGTGCGCGTGTGGGCGGCGCGGTGATGTGTGTGTGATGTGTGCAGGCCAGCGGGCGACGGCTCGTGGATGGTGCGCGTGTGGGCGGCGCGGTGATGTGTGTGTGATGTGTGCAGGCCAGCGGGCGACGGCTCGTGGATGGTGCGCGTGTATGCGGCGCGGTGATGTGTGTGTGATGTGTGCAGGCCAGCGGGCGACGGCTCGTGGATGGTGCGCGTGTATGCGGCGCGGTGATGTGTGTGTGATGTGTGCAGGCCAGCGGGCGACGGCTCGTGGATGGTGCGCGTGTATGCGGCGCGGTGATGTGTGTGTGATGTGTGCAGGCCAGCGGGCGACGGCTCGTGGATGGTGCGCGTGTGGGCGGCGCGGTCGGGCGCGCGCGGGCGGGGCGTTTCGCACCACGCGCCCGCCGTCGCCGCGCTGCTGCCCCCGCTGCCTGCCCGCACCCCGCAACTCCTCGTGCTCGCGGGAGACTCACTCTATGTAAGCATCTTATCTTTTTTTCATATACATACATCACAATAAATATTTTGAATAATATTTACGAGGGTGACACTGAAGTTTTTTAGAAAATCAAAAACTCAAACTAGAAAGTTATTAGTTTTATGATATCTTTTCAAAATAGTATCCATTTATATCAATATATCGCTATATCTGATGGAACTACTGAGAAAAGCACTTTGCCCACTCGTCCTAAGATCTCTCTTCGACGGAATTTTGAAACGCAGACCACTGCGTCCTCGTCGTCCATAAAACGTTTTCCTCGCAGTTTTCCTTTTATTTTTAAGAAAAATATATATTAATTATTACTTGCGAATTTTAAAAATAATTATTTTTAAAATTCGCAAGAAGCGAGGTCGAGGCTATAGGGCGGGTTACCCAGTAATTCCACGTTTGACGTCGCTAAGTAGTCGATTGTTTGCTTGGAGGTGTGCGATGAGGCGTTGTCGTAGTGAAGGGGGATCCTACTGCGAGGTCGTCTCTCCCAAACTTTTTCCAAGACTAGTGGAAAACAATTGTTAGTGTACCATACTGCAGTAACTGTTTTTCGATTTTCTAAAACAATAGTTGCGTAATGATCTGTCCTTCCGAAGGAACGAGGCCACCATCTTTTTTCCAACGCTTCGACCTCTCTTCAATGTAGTTGGCAACTCCTCGGAAGGAAACACCCAGACAGCGGACTGTCTCTTAGTTTCAGGATCATAACAATAAATCCAGCTTTCGTCACCCGTAAGTATGTTGAACGCAGCATTTGAGTCACCTCGATTAAATCTTTGAACCATTTCACAACTCCAGTCAACACGACGGAATTTTAGGTTCTCTGTAAAAGTATGAGGTATCTACCGGGCACAGAGCTTCCTGACCGCTAAATGTTCATGGAGGATTTTTTGCACTATTCCCTTATTCTCATTGTCAGATTTGACGAGAATACGACACGACCGAAAAGAGATCACGGTATTTCGCGTAGACCATCGACTTTACATGTTGTCCAAGACGCGGGAATGATTTTCAACCAACTTCTTACTACGATTTGCTTCTGAGAATTTCTCGACAGATTAACCCAATTACTGATTTCACCCCGACCCGTGATTCGAACTTAGGACCTCATGAACAGCAGTCGCGCTTACGACCACTATAGACCAAAACAGATAAACGAGGCAGTGAAATTCTTAAAAGTCAGAGCTTCCAAGTTAACATACAAAGATTTCACAGGCGAATGACGTTTTTTTTTCAATTCACAGGTGTGGACATGTCCTGTAATAGAAAGCTGAATATGCAGTTAAAAGTAATCGACTTACGAGTATGATTATATCTGGTTGCATCGACCATAAAAATATTAACAACAAAAGAAAAATAATTTCACATGTAAACAACGACCACCGAGATGTTTGGCGTGACCAACCGGATCAGCGAGGACGGACTGTTTTCAATTTTCAAGACCGCGACACACACCAGCATGGCGTTACACAGGCAGACCTTACGTGGACTCACGCGATTGCTGAAAATTGTAAGTGTAGCTTCAACTCTTCAATATTTACTTTACTGTAGGAGATAGACGATTTGAATGAGCCGTAACAGCGCATATACTGGGCGTTTGCTTCAGCCTTAAACGGTTTGTACCTGCAACCCGAGTTGGATCTTCAACGCAACGCCACAATTGACATTAAAACATAACTATAACTTTGTTGTTTTCTAAGTTTTTACTAAAATACGTATTATACACATGATGTTTCTTATACATATTTATTATTATATTAGTAGGAATATTTTTAGTACGTGGTAGAGTCACGACCCATATATCCGTGTAAACAACATGAATGGGTAGTGACCACGCAGGCACTGACTACCAGCGTAAATAGCAGAATAATACTGCTATGATTCATGTAGTAAGTGTAAACTAGACGAGACCCTTTTTACTAGTAACGAGGTATTCCATTTTATTCCTTAAAGGGCAGGGGCAACAAATCATCTACTTACTATCAGGGGGGCTGAGCGCTCGTCCGTTACCCTTACTTCTATATATTATATAATTCTAATATAATATAATATAACATTTTTATTCAATATAGATACTGAAATAATTATTATTGAACATCATTCCTTTATTTTCCATTGTTTCGCAAATACCTCTGTCCTAGAAAGGACTAGGAAGAAACTCAGCGGAGTTTTTTTTAACATACTATTTAACTTTACAATAATTTTGTGCATTTATATATGAACTATAATACAAACAGCCTGTTAGCGATAAAGTTACTCCCAGTGGCTACTTTCATTAATTTCTTAATAGTATCTGGGGACAGTGCCCCCGCCAAGCCGAGCAAAAAAGCGGCACGGTCGTACCATCCTTTTCTCGAAGCAGTTCAGGCCATTTTCGGCCCCCTATAACTTTGTTGTGGATAAAACTAGAAGCCTGAAATAACAGTCAGTAACCAATCAGGCATTGTATAGACACGGTATATTTCAAATTTCATTCAATTTCAAACAGTAGTTTAAGAATTATGACTAGTCAAAATTTATTCATTTTGTCACTCACTGACTGACCGATCATCAAAAAAGGCACTTCTAGCAGACATAGAAGCTTAAAATTTTGAATACAATTATTATTTAATATATAAATCAAGGAAAAACTAAACTATTTTTCAATTTTTAATCCAGTTTTCTAGATACATCAACTGCATAATTAACTTTGTAATCCCATACAAATATATAGGATTACAAAGTTATATTTGCAGTGAATAAATAAATGTACCTGTATATGTATAATATAATGGAATAATAGGTGTAGATAGGTACATAGATATAACTATATACAAAAAAATGTGATGCCGTCAAAAACATAACTTGTAAAAAAACCAAAGTCTCGCAACTCAGTTCTTCTACCGTTAAAAGTTGTGAGATCCATGTAATATCCATGTAAGATTAAATTATTACGTAATTAGCTGACCTAACAACATCTTATAGTGACCATATTAATATTAAAAATCTTTTATGTTTTAAATTAATAGATTGACTTGACAATCGCACTAAGCAATGTAATTTAATACAAAATGTATTACTTGTGAGATACATTGTGTTTTCATGCGATGGCAAAGTCAATTTATTTATTTAAAACATAAAAGATTTTTAATATTGATATGATCACTATAAGATGTTGTTAGGTTAGCTAATTACGTAATAACTTAAGACAGAAGGACCCTTAAGTATGGACTGAATAAATTAACCGACTTGGTATTACATGGATCTCACAACTTTTAACGGTAGAAGAACTGAGTTCCGAGACTTGGTTTTTTTGACAAGTTATATTTTTGATGGCATTATAATATTACACTAAATACTGGAGTAGAGCGGCGGGTTCTTTATTGGTTTATAAGTCTTTCAGAAAAAAATAGGAGGTCCGCGCCCAGCAGAGACAGTAACTTTTAAGTTAATTTAAATTAAATTGGCATATTTTGTATAGCAATTCTGTACCCGCGCGGTGGTTGGTGAGACTGTCAAAACACTATTTCAAGTTTTTTTTCTTATATCGTAAATGTTGCCAGTTTCTTCTCTCTGTTAGCTGCATGATTCGTTACTAACTTCATTTTTGTGTGGAAAATACCTTCACATAAGTAGCACGCTACTTAACGCTAAAATGTTTATCAGAGCGACGCGGTTAATTATTTATCATCATCACCATCATCATTACAGCACTTCACAAGTCCACTGCTGGACATAAGCCTTCCCCAAGGAATGTCACAAAGCACGATCCTGAGCCACCTGCATCCATCGACTTCCTGCATGTCTTACCAGGTCGTCATTCCATCAAGTGGGGGTCGTCATACACTTCGCCTACCGGTACGAGGCTGCTACTACAGAACCTGTTTTCCTCATCAATTATTGGTTCTTCGAGCTATATGGCCGGCCCATTGTCACTTCAGCTTTCTAATCACTTGAGTTTTTTTTTTTTTTTAATTTATTTCAACAATGTAACAGTTTTAATTACCATATAATTTCTTCGTGCCATTAAACACAATTGTGTTTGTCTTGGCACTGCACAGTTTGCTCTAATATGTTATACATTATACTTTATTTTACATAATATTGAACTTAACCTTTACTTAACCTAAATATAAAATACCATATTACAATTGTGTGAGAGAATATTAAGCGTTTTTTTTGTACTTACATAATTTTATACAAACTTTATATTAGATATTTCTAAAACTATTTTTTTTTTATGGAGAGGGTAGTTTTTGATATTGTTTACAAGAAATAAGCAAGAATGTGAATATTATTGTCTTCGATTGTTCGACTCGCTTATACACTATACTGCAAATTAATGACGCGCGTACACACGGAATGCATTTTTAAGGACTAGTTTTTTTTTTTTTTCTCTGGTTACACGTTTTGTTTATTTGTCCGTTTTTGGCAATATATTTGCATAGATAAATATAGATTATCATGATTATTATTTAATATTTTTTAATTTTTTTTGAAGAATTCTAATTATATAAAAAACGTTTAAGTTTTGTTTTTATGTTTTGTGCTGTTAGTTGGCTTCTTAATTCTGTAGGTAAAGAATTTAACAGGTATGGTATTAGATATTTACGTGTTCTTTTACCGTAGTAATTATTCGTTCTAATTAGTGAATAAGGTGTTGTATTTCTGGTGTTATAATTGCGATCTCTTGGGGTTGGGTCTATTGAGTACTCATAACATTCTTTCAGAAGCATATATTTCACCTTTTTATGTATGGGTAAAACATTGCAGTACGTGAAAAGGTATGAGTAGTCATTGCGATATTTATCCTTGATATGTTGAGGCAAAATAGATTTTAACAGTCTTATTTGTAAGCTGTATATTTTATCTAGATAAGTGCGGAAAGTTCGCCCATAGCTACTAAGACCATATGACACTATCGATTCCACTAAAGCATTATAAAGGCTTAAACGAATTTTAAATGGAATTGTATTACGAATAATATGAAATTTCGCTAGGACTGCTCTTAATTTACTACACACGTAATCAATATGATTCTTCCAGTTCATCCTATCGTCTATGACCAATCCTAAATATGTGTGATATTTAACAACCGGAATTTTTTCACATGAACAAGTTATTGTATTATGCAGACAGAGATGATTATGAGCGATAATGCTGATTGGCCTAATGTTCCTGATGTGACTTGAGTGAATGTGTAGTATCTTGGTTTTTTGTATATTTATTATAAGTCCTAGGTCGTGTGCCCACATAGAGAGGCGTGAAAAATCATCTTGTAACTGTTGCATGGCTATTTCCACATTTTTATCTTCTGACAGAAGACACGTATCATCAGCGTACTGGTATAAACTACATTTTTTAATTATGTTCTCTAATTCATTTACGTATGTTAAGTAATGTAGTGGCCCTATAACTGAGCCTTGTGCCGTGCCTGTAGTCATAGGCATTTTAATACTTAAATTATTTTCTATCTTTACTTGGAAATATCGATTGCTCACATAGTCTTTACACCATCTTAGGAAGGGTCCTCTAACACCAGAGTTTTCAAGTTTTCTTAGAAGAATGTCATGTTTTAAGGTGTCAAAGGCTTTACTAAAATCAATGAAAGCAATTAATACATGCTTTTTCTCATCCAGACATTTATTTACTTCGTCTGTAAAGTTTGACAGTAACTGTGTAGTAGATTTTTTTGGCTGAAATCCGTATTGAGATGCCGAAATAATTTTATGTTTTTGAAAGTAGTTATGAAGCTGGTTGGATGTGAATTTTTCTATAATTTTGTCAATTATTGGGAGTATAGTAATAGGCCTGTAATTATTGTAATCGTCTTTATGTCCACTTTTGTAGATAGGTCGTACCAATCCTAATTTTAAATCTGTAGGATAGATGCCTATATTTATACTACTGTTAATTAACTTGACAATCACTTTAGCAATTTTTTCTGATATAGCTTTAATGTCAATCGTACGAATTCCGTCGGCACCTGGTGCCTTTTTTGTGTTAAGTGTTTGTATTATATTTTTTATTTGCTTTGTGTTCGCTTTTTGAAACCGTATAGACGTATCTGCTGTATTTGTGTACAGGTCTTCCGATAGAATTTTACTGGTACAGTTTGGTATTATATTTTTTATGTTTCTATTGAATTCAGTGGCAAAATTATCGGCTATTGTTTTACTATTTTGACTTTTGAAGTTAAATGCTTTATTTAATGATTCATCTAGTGTTTCGGTAACCTTACCACAAAGTCTGTTTACAATTTTCCACGTATATCTTGGGTTAGACATGTTATTATTGATTTTTTGATAATAGTAATTGTTTCTAGTTCTCTCAATAAATTTAATTGTTTTATTTCTATATTTATTATATTCTATCCTTAAAAGTTTATTACTTGAGTCATTTTTCCATTTATTAAACAAAGTATCTCTTATTTTACACATATTTATAATGTCTTTATTTAACCAATTCTCTTTATTTCGTTTGCTACTTTGTTTTATTTTTTTAATTGATTGACATTTACTGTAGCACTCCATAAATTTATTTTTGATAAAGTTGTTTATACTAATAGGGCATTGCATATAATTAACCGGTGACCAGTCTATTTCGTTTAGCATTGTATGAAGCTTTTTATTATCATATAAAATAATATTTTCGAATTCATCCCGTGTGAACGAAACAGGTGCGACGCATGCAAGCACAGTCATGCGATGATCTGCTAATACAGTACCAATAGCGCCAGAGTATAGGTCTAACGTACGCGATCGCACAAAGATGTGATCTATACAACTTTTAGTTATTTTGTCTTTTCTTTTTTCTATTCTGGTGTAATCTGTTATCGCACACGTTAGACCGTGCTCAGCTATTTTACTTAAATAATATTCTTGAGTAGGTGTAATGCATTTAATGTTAATATTCATATCACCCAGGATGATTAAGTTATGTTTTTTAGCGAAATTATCTTTTATTATGTGACACAGCTCTTTTATAAACAAGTGTTTGTTCTCGTTCGGTGGTCTATATATTATACAAAGATGGAATGTTTGCATATTATAGGTGGTAATTTTGCTTATAAGTGATTCACAGTGTAATGTTTTTATGGGTATAATTTCAAACTTATGGTTCTTACGTACATAAACAATTATCCCACCCCCCCTTCTTTTAGTTCTTAAGATACTATGCGTTGTATAGCCATCGATATTAAACATAGATAGTAAATTATTAGATATATTGGCTTCCGTTATGGCAATGCAGTCTAAATTTACTTTACTAGAATTTATACATTCCTTTAGCATTACAAAGTTTTTTATCATAGACCTTAAGTTAATATGAATAAAAGTGAAACTTTTTTTACCTTTGGGTAAAAATTTGTAAAAATCATTTAAATTAATACAGTCGTATATTTCCGAAACGTTCGTAAAAGAATCCATTATGGTTGTTATTAATATTACTTATATTTATACTTAATGCTGAGTTTTGCACTTAACTGATTACTTCCTTTACTTCCGTATTATGAGAAATGATTCGTTTTGTTAGTCTTTGGATGTCATCGATGCACCTGATAGTTATGATCTTGTCTTTGTCTTCTTTTCGAGCGAAAATTTTTCCATTTTTAAACCAAATGTATTTGTATTCTGAACCTAAATGTTTTTTTGCATTCCACAAAAGTGTTTTATTTGCTTTTGTGAGTGCACGTCTCAACATAATTCTATCCTTACCCTCATCATATTTCATAGTTGCATTAGGAAGAATATCATTCACTTTTAATACCTTCATTTTTGCAGCTTGTATCCACTTCTCACTCTCTGTTTCATCTTTTAATTCCAGTAGCAGATATCCATCCTTTCCTTTTCTTCCTTCTACTTGTGTTAAGCTTTTAATTGAACTCGCATCCATATCTAATTTGGATGCTAATATTGTAGTAATCTTATTATGATTAATGCCATCAATACCCGATATACCAGTTATTTCAATTCTGTTATTATATTGCTTTTGTTCCATTTCTCCTATCTTTTGTTCTAGAGCACTTATTCTTATTTCCAAATTATTATTCTTGTTGTTTAATGCTAGATTTTTGGTTTCTAATTCTTTAATTCTGCTTTTTAGAACATCCATACTTTCTAGCACCTCATCTAGTTTATCGTGACAGTAACTTATAGAAGATTCGATTGGTTCTAGTTCTCGCTTTATAGTAACTTCAACTTCCTTTGAAATATCCTTTAGTAACTTTTTAATGTCTATTGATGGCTTAGAATGCGAATTATCTTGAGTTTGTTGATTTTGTTCCACTTTTTCTTCTTCTTCTGGGATAATAAACGACCTTCTTACAGGAGTGTATCGTTGACATTCCTTGCAGGTCCATTCCAGGCTATCTGCGTTACGTAATGCTGCAATCTGTTTAGTTGAAAGATTAGTACAGGCTTGAGTCGCGTGCACAATTTTTTCGCATTTGCTGCATTCTAAGCCGGGAGTTCTTTTAGTTATCGGTTTTTCACAACAATCACATTTACTCATTGTAATGTCGGTATAACGACTTTTTTAACCACACGTCCGATCGGTAACACTGTCAATGCAAACTGGAAGTTTAAAGTTAAATCGGTTAATCTGGTTCTGTTGCGGATATCCTCATTTCTAAGTTTATCACGCAGAGAAACCACGAGCATAGCCCTCTCCATAGCTCGCTAAGCGACCTTGAGCATCCTCATACGGCCAGCAGTGAAGGACCAAGTCTAAGATCCATTATTCATCACGGGCAACACGCACTGGTTGTACAATCTCGTTTTCAGGTTTTAAGGTATACCTGACGAGAAGATGTGCCGTAGTTTCCCGAACGCTACTTAGCCAAGAGAATCCGTCAATTGACCTCTCGGTTGAAGTTGGACTTACCTAGTCGGACTATTTGTCCCAGGTAAACATACTCGTCAACAACCGGCATAGGTGTGACATGGACATTAAACATAAACGCGGTTAATATAATTATATAATTCAAGGAAACACCAAGCAGAGGCCGCGGTGCATGTAAAGCGCCGCCGCGGGACTCTTGCTCGGGCAGCGCTGCGCCGGAGTGTCCTCCGTGCGAGGCGCGCGCGCCGCCCGCCTGCCGCGCGCCGGCGCGCGCCGCCCTGCGCGGGCTGCGCGTCGCCTGCCGCCCGCCCCCGCGCACCGCCCGCCCGCCCTGCCCAGCGCGACACCCGCCCTGCGCTCTCACCTGCGAACATCTGCCCGCACAGGTTTTTTTTTTAAAAATCACGAGACGGATTTTAATTGATAAACCAATTTATATTCAAATGCATTGTTTTTGTAATGCCTCGCAACTAGCATTTTTTTATAGGAGAGGGGGCAAACGAGTATGCGGCTCACCTGATGGTAAGTGGCTACCGCCGCCCATGAACAGCTGCAACACCAGGGAGGGAATCGCAGATGTGTTGCCGGCCTTTTAAAAAGGAGTAGGCTCTCTTCTTGAAGGTCCCTAGGTCGTATCAATCCGGGAAAATCGCTGATGGTAATCGGTTCCACAAAGAAGTCGTGCGAGGAAGAAAACCTCTTCTAAATCGCACAGTGGTGGACCGCCAATGATCCAGATGGTGTAGATGGTATCGGGAGTTCTGCCGCGATGTGCGTTCGTGAAATTTGGTGGCTGGGATTAATCCGGTTTGCCACTAATCCTACTACTCCGCACCTTGTGTCGACCCGTAAACAATGCAATATTTCACATTAACTTAATAAAAAGAAACTTAATCATCGCAAACTATCCAATTATACTGTAAATCAAAAAAATTTGGCAAGACACTAAAAAATTAATTTTCAGACTATAAATAGTCTATTGCTGTTCATAAGTGTGGCTATCGTAGTGGAGAGAATTTGACTTTATTATCACGGTTGAAAGATAAATTACCAATCCCTATTTAGAATTAGAGAGTTTGACGTCCATTACATTTTTAAAGAAATGCAATAATAACAATTACAGCTACATTATAAATGACCACGGTTCTTTGGCTAACACTAATTATATTTTATTTTTCTACGTAGAATGCTTCGGAGACCTTATCAATGAACGAATTCCAGTGCAATACACAGTCACCATATTCGACGAGTGGAAGATGTGGAGATACCTTAGATCGCGTAGCACAGCGCATCTCAGCTGCAAAGCTCGCGCGTCGCCTCGACTATGAACGCGAAGTAGCCGAACGAAAGAAAGCCATTGCGCCGCCACCGCCACCCGCCGATTACTTGCTTGGTGCCGACCGTGAAACGGTGCGCGCCACTGACGGTCGTGACTACATCGTGCTGCCTCCACATCCTACTGCTACATCAGATTCGACTATACAACGCCGAACTAATACAGCGTCGGGTACTGTTGAATTAGATCCCTCCACAAGTTGTGCTATTAACAGAGTTCCTCACGTAGACCCTTGTGCACATCATCCACGTATTTTACTTACAATCGATCGCAGCGATGCTAATAATTCATCCTCTTCTCAACGTTTATCTTCTCCGCCAAATTCTGTCTCCAAACCATCACGATGCACAACTTCTAATAACCAGTTTCGATCTCAAGATAAAAGCGGGTTAAGTAAAAAAAATGATAATAAAGTAACCGTCCCAAAGAAACAATGTAATGGAAACAGCCCCGAAAAACTCAAAAACTGGTGCTCTTCTCCACCACAAATAGCACCCGAGCCACCTCGTTGTCGGCAGCCTTCTCTTGTCGAACGATTGCGACGCCGACCCAAGAGTTCTTGTGGAGGGGTACGCAAATTACACTCAGCAATATCTAATTTGGCGAAATACGACAACAACAAAATTGACAAACATGTTATATCAAAAGCTGAATTGCAGTCCATTATTTCTCAAATAATTGCCGATTCAGAAAAATTAAATAAAATGCTCAGTGAAAGAGATAAACTAAAAGAAGCAGCAAGAGGTCGAATTATACTTAAAGATCAAAAGGAAAAGCCTATACAGAGTGGACGCTTAGATCTCCCTGTGCCGGCCGGCACGCAGGCTCTGCAAGTACGAGTGACTTTGCGTTAAAATTCGGCAACGCGACTCATACAACCTCTTCATTGTTCTCCTTTGGACATCTAAAGCTCTAAGGAAGGCGTATGTTCCTTGCAAAATGTATCACACACAGGCAAGACAAAATTTTGACGAATCACGTTGTAAACAAAGACAAACTTCAAAGTCATCTTGTGAGCGAAAACAGACTAAACCTAATTCATCTCGTGAGACGAAACAAAAACCAAAGGCATGCCCTTGAGCCAACTAGATTTGAAGCCAACGCCGGAACCACGATGATGTTCTTCAGCGAATGAGCTTCTACCGAACACGATACTAATCACTTAACGATAAAAAAACTCATATAACGTCATTGCTGTGTGTGTCACCGTTTTGAAATATATAAGTTTATGAAAAATAAGTAATAATTTAATTATCTACTATTGACTTGACTATTTGTAAAATTTATTATTCCTTCCCTACAGCCGCTCTATTGCTCAAAAGGTACCATTTTAAAGGATAAACGAGCACACAGTCCACCTGATGGTAAGTGGTTGCTGTGAACCCTAGACATCTACATTATTCCTCAATAAAGAATCAAAATGCAGATGACTACGCATCCGCATTTTGATTCCCGTGAACAGCAATGGACCCGTGAGGAATAAGATAGAATGCCTCTTTTCCAGTAAAATAGATCTCCGGTTCTCTACACTCACCATACGAAACACAGCAGTGTCAAGCTGCCATTTTACGCTGATATTCTGTGAGACTGGTATACTCGAGTAACCCGGGTTTGATCCCCGCCGGCACTAATGAAATTATTAATTGCAATTTTAACTGCTGATTTACCACGCGCTCATCGGTGAAGGAAAACATCGTGAGGAAAACTGCATGTCTGAGAAATAAGAAAAAAAATATTTTCGAAGACATGTGACGTTCGTCACACACAACAAAACCCTCTCAGAAATGAGAGGAGGCCTGTGCCCAGCAGTGGGACGTAAATGGGCTGCAACTTTACTTTACTTTATTCTGTGAGAGCGTGGTCCTTCCCCGGTCGAGCAGACCCAATCGTGCTACAACAATACTATTATTATAGCCGCAGCATGGCTCTACCACGTATAAAATATCAATAATTTAATACCGAATTTGTTTTAAGAGGGAATTTTACCAAAGCTGGTAAACTAAGCAGGCGGATCAGCAACCGGAGTTTTTTATTATTATTAAATCAGTTAAGAGTATCAGGAAGATGCCGCTGCCCATTTTCTCTTTCTGATGTTGTGTTAAATTATAGCCGATTAATTGGTTATTTACTCGGTTTAATAATTTACTGGGTTTACTTGAGCGTTTTAACTATACCACTGATACAAATCAAATGGTAGTAATAGTATAGATGGACGGCTCCGTGGCGCAGTGGCTTAGCAATGAGTTGCTGCGCTGGGGGGCGCGGGTTCGAATCCCGCACGGGTACAAGTATTTGTATGGCCTACAAATGATTGTTCCGGTTCTGGATGTTTGTCCTTGTGAAATTTGTGTTTGTAAACTGCCTCCACGATACAGGAGAAAATCCCAGTGTGGGCGTAACGTTTTTTAAAAAAGAAGAACAAAAAAAGATACATTTATAATTATTAGGTGTAATTTCAAATAACAAATCAAATGATGAATAACATGAACTCCAAGAGTTATTTAAATGCCTTTAGAAAATACTAATAATAAACGAAATTAAAAATTATTCCTATATTTTTTTCCACTTTTGACCACGCTTGTAACCACGCTTGGCAAGCAGGTTGTGAACCGCAGTTTTTTATGTTATAAGGAAAATCCGCTTGCTCCCCGTCTCTTGGTTAGTTTTCGTACGACGCCTCTTGCGATAACCACGGCACAATATGGGATAGTGTATATTCTCACACTGTCTCTACACTGTGATAAATATAAACAGTAATTTGTTTGGAAATACGAATATTAAGTTCACAGGTCATAAGTAACAATGACTGCTGAACATTTCTTACCTATCGTATTACAAAGTATTAATAATAATGTCCTCTAGACCGCATTTCGGTCTAGAGGATTTTCGGCGGCCAGACTCAATGGAGACTAGCGAACTGCGCAGGACAGGACTATAGTGTCAGAGTGTATGCGCAAGCACAGGTGCACTCTCTATTCTCTCACTCTCATAGTCCAATGGGACGGTAAATCGACACGACCGGAGAGAGATCAGGCGCAGGACCAACGACTTTACGTGCTTTCCGAGGCACGGGAGTGAGACACCGCCAAGTTCCGGACTCCGGGCAGCTACTGAGAATTTCTTGATGGAAAAACTCAATAACTGATTTTTTGGCCCGACCCGGGATTCGAACCCGGGACCTTATGATCAGCAGTTGCACTACTACAACCACTAGAGAAACGAGGCAGTCAACATAGTATTAAACAAAGTATTAACACAAGTAGCGTATTACGTTGAATTACTTAGCGTATTACTTAGAAATTGCTGCATTCACCCCACGTGGCCGACGGATTATTATCGATCACAGCACCCAGATGCCTTGCACCTTTGACATTGTTCGTCGTCATTAGTTCGGGTAATGTACGTTTTTCACGACGTTAAAGCAAGATATTAATATTTAGTAGAAACGTTGTTGACGCGTGAATTTTCATTGGCAGTCCGAGCACGATATACTCTATCTCACACCCTGTGGGGAAACTTGAAAATTATCGTGGTGTTGATATCAATTCAATAATTCTGGACAATCAAAAAAAATTTCAACCGACTTCAAAAAAGGAGAAGGTTCTGAATTCAACTGTTTATTTTTTATGTATGATATGTGATTTTGATGATTATTTTTTATATTTGAGAGCTAGTGCTTTTCATATGGTCCCATATAAATTTGATCAATATTTCACCAGTAGTTTTTGAGTTATCCTTTATAATGCACGTTCAATTGAATTCAACTACATTGATGATGTTCTCATTTTATTTATAACACAGTCGCATGTACAAAATTTTTAATTTTAACACTTGTTGTCGCTATGATAACTAATCGTCGACACTCCCTTTATTGGTTGGTAGTTGGTAACTATGTAAAAGAGAAAATATTTAAATATTCCAAGAAAAGCAATACAGTAAACTATAAATAATCAATACAGAAAAATATTAGAGCGACCGATTTAAGCTCTGACATTCACAATTTCAAAATTAATCACCGCTAGGTCAAATTCGTTTGGAGATGTATGGAGATGGAATGCAACGTAGCGTATCCTAGTGCCCACCGCCGCGGTCTGGTCAAGACATTAATTATTTTCAGCTTTGCAGGTGCGATATTTAGTGCCAATGTATTCATAAGTTGTATGGAAAATATGTTGTTATCTAGAATGAGTTTGGTTTAGTTTTTTATAGAATAAAGATGACAAGTGAGCATACAGTATATCTTATTGTAAGTCGATGTCGTGGCCCCGTGGAAATAGTGTTATGAAGAAGAAGTTTTTGTTGGGGAATGTTTAATTATGAAGAAGAATATCCACAACGATGTGCAAAATTTTATAAGGAACAATTGTGAGATTATTTTTATGACTTCTATTCTCCTCATTCTCTTCATAAATACAGCAGCAATACGCTGAAGTAAGAGTTTTCATAGAAGAATACAGCCCACGGATAGGTAACTTATTGCTATGACCACTTAAATCTATCTTCGATTAGGAACCTAAATGCAGTTGCGTTGGCACCCCTGAGACCTCCACTCCTCGTCACTCACCACACGAACTACAGCAGCATTAGGCTGCTATTTCACGCTGGTATTTCGTGAGCGTGGTCCTTCCCCATTCGAGCTAACCTATTCCTGCTGCGGCCATAAGCATAGCAACATGTTATTGCTTCAGACCAACAATGAGAAAAGACGAAGTGCTGCTTACATTTCAAGTGACGCAAAAACTGAGCCAAACCATGCTTATTTTATTGTAAGAACTTACACATGTACAAGTATCTAACCATGTATTTAATATTTAAGCGACATTAACCTAATGATAAGGTGCAAAAGGCTGTGGTTTCGATGTGTTCGTTTGTCATACTCATTGTTTAAAAAAACTAGGCTATATGTGGGGGATTTTGCTATATTGGCGTGCTCAAGAGAGCGGGACAGTATTTCATACCGGCACATCGTCTGCAAATTTACAAGGCGCAGCTTCAGCCTCACATAGAATACTGTACTCATCTCTGGACCAGGGCTCCCCAGTGCCAGCTCCTTCCACTTAACCGCATCCAGTGCAGAGCGGCTCGAATCGTCGATAGCCAAGTCCTATCCAATCGGCTCAATCCACGGGCGCTGCGAATAGATATTGCAACCCTTCGCAACTTCTACTGCATCTATCACGCGGAGTGCTCTGAGGAATTGTTTGGATTAATTCCAGCCGCCCAATTTAACAAACGATACCATCTACACCATCTGGATGCTTAGCGGTCCACTACTGTACGTTTTACTTGGAGTTTTCTTCCCCGTACTACCCATCTGTGGAATAGTTTACCACCGCCAATTTTTCCAGACCGATACGACTTAAGGACCTTCAAGCCAAGAGCTTACTCTTATCTAAAAGGGCGGTAACGCATCTGAAATTCCCATGGTGTTGCAATTATTTATGGGCGGCGGTAGTCACTTACCATCAGGTGAGCCGCATGCTCGTTTACCCCCTCGTCTATAAAAAAAGTGTTATATATAAAAAAATAAAAGTTACTTATACTCCGGTTTATGGATCTCTGCTCCAGTGCGTGCTGTCACATGTCCTTGAAATCTTTATTCCTCAGACATGTATGTTCCCTTTCAATTATTTTTCTCTTACAAGAACGTGGTACATCACCACGTAAAGCTGCAATGAGCGATTTCATTGATGCCGGCTGGGATTGAACACACATGTTGTTGTGAAATTGTCAAATTTACGAAGAGAACCTTAGCTTTTGAGTTATCAAAAATATAATATGTTAATAACACAATATTTTTGTTCTGTTTCTAATTCTCTTTCTCTTCTTAATAACTAATTATTCTAATGATGTT